TGTACCAATTTAATCGAAATGTTACGATCTCATGCATTTATTTTTATGATATTTAGTATGTTATAAAAATATCTCTAGACTTTTCCGATGTGTATATTTGTACTAGCTACTGTGTTAACGAAACATGTTAATATTATATTATACCAATATTATATCATATCAGACCATGGAAGTCCAAACTAGTTTGAAGGTGGTTGACAATATCATTTTTACTTTTTCATTACTATATATGTAATAGATTTTGACCTACATTTGACTATGTTGATGATAATCATCGTATAATCTAGTCTTCCCAATTAATTAAATTTCTTCAAACTCTAGTCTCGCATTGTATTGGATTTTATTGAATGATAGGATAAAAGTCCACTCAATTCCTCATGACATGACGAACACTGTCAGTGCGCGGGTTTTTTCGATAACGACACATGCTACTAACAAAAACTTTCGTGAGACACTCCAAAACTGCATTTGTGTTTGTGAGAGTCGCGAAGTAACATTTCTTTTCACTTCTGCCTATAGTCGAACCGCTGAGTCGGTTACGCGAAGTGAAAGGTACAAGTCCCATTTTTCAAATTTTCTGTTGTCCGGTTTGTGCGTACAGATCTTCTGATTTGGTGCTCACACACTGAGTGGTAATTGGGGCTAGGTGGATTGGTTTTTTCTCAGGTGAGTTGATAATTTATCGATATATTTCAACCCCATAGGCGTACCTATATTGAACACTTCGATAGGCATATTTTTAATTTATTTTGGTTATTTACACTCCATGAAAATTCCAACATTTTTCAACGATAATATCCCGAGTTGAAATATCTGTCAACACAATTTTCGAAATTTTGCTAAGCAGATAAGCGTATAGTAAAAAAAAACTATTTAATACAGTTTATTGTGTGATTTTCACTATAAAAGGTTTTACAAAAACAGTAACACGGAATTTGCTATACAGTAGCTTCCTCAAGCATAAACTGCATAAAAGCATGAACAATAAACTGTATTAATTAGTTTTTGATATGGATTTCATCAAGTATTGGCCAGTTCTATTCAATTAAGCGTATAATAATGCACGATTGAATTTGGTATACGATTAATATATGTTGCAGACAAAGGAAAATACGATATAAAATCAGTTTCAAAGTCAAAATTTTAGAATGTATGTGATAATTATAATTTTCATGTCAACTACTGAATAATTTCATTTCCATTCAGTTAAACAGTTCAAGTTTTTCATCGTTTTTATGTGCAAAGAAAAATAATAGTATATTATTCGGTTGGAAAGAAATGTAACCATTTCTTGTAAGAATGGAGTAATAGCTATTTTTCAAAAGTGAAATACTATACTTTTTTATGACTTACTACAAGAATATTTCAAAATGACATTCATTTGTGATGGAGTTCCTGAATCAGATTAATATTATTGAATTTCATAGCAGAAAGTAACCAAAGAGAGCATTCAAAATTATTTCCCATTCATGTTATTTAATTAATTCACGAGTAGGTGGTTCAAAAATTAAACCAAGTTTACCGGTACACTACCCCAGGATTTTACGTTCTCTCAGGGGTATTAAAAATGAGGTCATACCAATAATGTTTATTGATAACAATGTTGAAATCGTTGATTTTACAGTAAGTACATGATATGTACTTTATTTTCAGTTCGCATCGACATATAGTTCGTTATTGCAACTATTTTCATGGGTTTTATCGTGTGTTTGATAGTTTTTGATAATGTTTTTATATTCTAGTTAATATAAGTCACAATCTACAATGTTGAACTGAAAGTTTTCGGTGTGGTGCTATGTGAAATGTAAAAATAGTTCGTCAGTGACAGAAAAATTGGAAATAAAATTTCAAATTTGTTTACCACTTGTATTTGTAACTAATGTTACTCCTAGCTTTCGAAAAATCGAATATTGAGGACTTTGTTTCCTTTTCAAATAACATACTTTAATCGATAAAATTCACGTATGAGTTAGAAAATAAAGAACAATTTCCATTTTTTGACGTTTTGGGAATGAGGAGTCAATGTGGAAAGCTAGAACGCGATGTGTTTAGAAAAAAAACAAGCACTGACAGGTATATTCCTGACACTTCACATCACTGTGGACAGCAAAAAAAATGCTGGGTTGGATATTCTTGTATATCGTCTTTTGACATTTCTTTTCACACATGAGAGGTTAACAAAAGAAAAAGTGACAACAGGAAATAGAATTTCGTTAGTTCGGACTTCTATTGTCTGATTTTATATAAAATGATTTGAAATTCCTGAAAGAACTAATAAAAAAAATTAAAAGAGAATAGCTGAAAATAACAATTATTCTAATCAAAAAACCCTAAAATGAAATAACAGTGAAATAAAATACGAGTAAGAGTTAGAACAATTGAGAAAAAAATTGAAAAATAAAAAATTAAAGTTACTTGTTCTATTTTTTACTTGTATTTTATTCTACTGTTTAGGTTCTACTGTTTTTTTGATTAATATAATTGTTATTTTCAGCTATTCTTTTCAATTCTTCTTTCATAAGTTCTTTCAAATCCTTTTATATAGTAGACAATGGAAGTCCGAACTAGTGAAATTCGTCATAAAACATTGTCAATCACCTTCAAACAAACAGAAAATAGAAGTCAATAACCATTACTCGTTTCTTTTCCGAAAATATCAATTTCAATTATGAAACGAAAACAGAAATACGACCTAAGTGGGCTCTATTTTTAGGTTAATTTTTGGGAAAGGTTTTGGCTTTCTACTTTTTTATTTTTATACAAGATATGTGGAAATCTTCTTTTCTTTGGGATATCCCCACAGTTTTTTTCAAATGGGAAGCCAAAAATTTTCTTTCCCTAAAAAATTGAACCTTGTCGCATCGATTTGTTAGGCAGATTGAATCCATTTTCCTGCGCAAAAATGTCAATTATGCGATAACTTCTAAGATAATAAATTAATGTGTATGATATAGGGAGTAATTATATGTATGGAACGATTGAAGCAACTTTTTTGATAAGGATAAGGATTATTGCGGTATCCGTTCAAATAACTTTCCGAATTCCACATTATATGCAATAATTCCCCCCCTATTACGAAAGGATCAGACGATATCTTGACTCAATCCAAATACAGTAATTTCCTTAGCTGATAAACTCCATGGCTGATAAACCCACCCATATTCAACTACCAACTATCCCAGTTCAATAAATATGCCACAAATACTAACATCATTATCCAGAACTTCAGGCAACTCATCATTGAGTATAAGGGCTACAAAGAAATGTACACAGATTCCTCGAAAACTGATGTAGGAGTAGGTGCTGCAGTAGTAATGTATCGAACGAATTTAACTTTCAAACTTCCGAAAACAGTAACAATCCTCACAGGGGAACTTTTTGCCATTCTCCAAGCATTTCGCTATGCAAAATCAGATGAAGCTGATAAATTTATAATAATCTCAGACTCGAACAATAGTCCGCAAACACTCGAAAAAATGTATGTGAGATATCCAATCGGTAAAATTATCAAAAGAGAACTATATAATTTGCAAATTTTGAATAAGTAAGTTGTCCTACTTTGGGTCCCCTCCCATATAGGAATAAGAGGCAACGAAACAGCCGACCGAAGCGCACGTGAGGCAATAATAAATCCGAACCAGAAAGTCTCACAGCTCACTCCCTACACAGATTTGAAATCATATATAAAAAAAGCTGAGGGACATCTGGAACAGGAACTGGCAAAGTACACAATCCAAGCTTAAAGAAATCAAAACAGCGGTAGGACCGTGGGATAATGGAAATCTGCCGAGAAAGAACAAGAGATCATTACTCGACTCAGAATAGGACATACAAGGCTTACCCATGAATACCTGATATCTCGAGAAGAAGAACCACACTGTCAAATTTGTGAAATGCCACTAACAGTAAAACACATCATGATGGAATGTCCGATGTTCCAAATAGAAAGAGATAATTACAATATACCTCAAGATTTGAAAGAAGCTCTAGGACGACATCAAGAGAAAAATATTATTTGCTTTTTAACTGCTCTCAATCTTATTATAAAATTGTAAATACTAATTATTTGTAATGAATACACTCCGCCGCTAATAACCATCAGGTTGATGCGGATGATTTTAAATTAAAAAAAAATATTGTTAACATTGACACAAGCTGTCGCGGCTTCTTTTGTAGACCCATGAAAGAAGAACAACATATAGTGAATTATTTTGTTAAATCTTTAACTGATTAGATTCACACAAAACATAACTTGATCATACAAAGAACCCTTCCCTTAAATCATTAGTGGAAACCTCATGAAAATCCGTTCGATGGATTTCAAATTCATCACGTTCAGACACACAGACGCGGCTGAGGAATTTGTTCATAATAAAAGATTTCAACTTCTAATGTTTCGCAGCATAACTGATGATTTGGTCGCTGGATAAAAGTGGCCTCTGAAAATGGAACACCGTAAAAGATATCATCTGATTGAGAGTCATAATTTCAATTCGGGTTTCAAGACCGTATATTTTTGGATTTTTTTCCTGGTACGAGTGGCTAGCTTCTTTATCCTCGATGACTGGTTATTTCAACTGCATATTTATGTCGATACAGGTAGTTTGTTGTAGTAATTTCTGTACCTGGATTGTCAATAACATTCGAATAACATGTTGTTATTTTTGAACCTCTTAAAAGGGAATTCCATATTCGGTTGAGGTTCACAGTTTTTTTCTGTTGTTTGTGTGTTTGTGGATTCCAAAAGTCGACGTACTTCAAACCCGAATGGAAATAGTGGCATTTTAAAACCTCGGCCACGAAAGCTTAACCATTTTACCCAGTTGATTTTAATTCAATCGACAGTTCGATCTTCCTCTTGAAGATGATCACTTGCTGATCGAAACACGTGTCGAGGTGTTAAAATAACGGTTTGTTGTAGGGAAAAAATCTCCTGTGATATTCATTACTACACCAAAGGTTTCAAACAGTGAAGACAAAAAATACGACTTCATAAAGATATTTTGAGCATAAACAAAAGTTTCTTCTAGATACACACTGAAAGAAAAATCCTTTGAAAACAAGTACTTTCTTACAAGGGCGTCGCTAGCTTATGACTAAGGGGGGAGGCAATGGAGCAATATAATGGAGGACAAAAATATGAACGCCTGGTAAAGTCCAAAGAATGAAGCGTTAGATTTTGGAAGTCTTTGCCTCGATGACGATTGTAATAAAAACGGTTCTGATCAATGTATAAAACTTCACAAGCCCCCGGCAGCACAATACCTGAATCAAACTTTTGAACACAATAATAATCATTTATTTCAACAAAAATAATATTTAATTAAAACATAACCTGCGGGGATTTTTTTCAAAACTTCAAAACTACTGTGATGTTACCACTCTGAACCTGGAGTTTATTAATTTTCTTAGCAAGTCAGTGTTTGAAATAATCAAACAATTGACTCATTAGAAGTCGATATCTTCGACTCAAACCTCCAGTTTCTCACTTTCACTGAAACCCATTGCACTAACGAATCTATAGTTCATAGAAATATAAAAGGTTTTGAATTATCGAGCTACTTTTGCAGAACCTCATTAGAAAAAAAAGGGGGTCGCAATATATTCCAAAAGAGGACTGAAATGTAAGCAAATTAATTTGAAAAAGTATTGTGTTGAAAAAGATT